ATTCCACTGAACCAGGCCAGTCTGGGTCTGTTCCCTAGAGAAGAAATATTACTTCGGGGGGGGGGTGTGGAGGAATGGGGCAACTGGGGGATGGACATTAAGGAGGGCATGTGATATAATGAGCACTGGGTGTTATATAAGACTGATGAATCACAGACCTGTACCTCTGAAACCAGTAATACTTTATATGTTAATTAACTGAATTAAAATTTAAAAAATTTTTTAAAAAGAAATCTCACTTCATGTCTGTGCCAATCCACATGAAAGAAATGCTTTGGTGGTGGCCACTATGACCCCCAGATCTTCTTCTGCTTCTTTGCAGACCTATGCCATCCCTATCTTGGAGTAGGGTGATGGGGCTTTCCTTGCCAGCCATTCAGTAACTAATGAGACAGATTTCTCTTATTACTTTTATGTGCTGGGCACTGTGCAGGTTGTGCTAAGGGCACCGGGACATAGAGTAGGAGAGCTCACAGTTTCGTGGGGGAGGCAGGCCCATCTGTGGACTGGGTCCTCTCATCACAGATAATAACACTCCCACCTCACAGAGGTTCTGTGCGGTGAAACAAGCTAGTGTCGGCAGAGTGTGGCACAGCAGCCCCTCACAACAGACACCCAATACCATGAATCGTGTGGCAAGCACCAGAGGAGGAAGTGGGCTCTGGGGACCCAGGATCCCCTACCCCAGACGGGTGGCAGCAGGAGAGGTTCCACTTCCTCAGACAGGGCGAGTGGGGCTCCCTCTGGTTGGGGGATGGACAGGGCAGCAGCGGACTGCCAGGCCTGGGTCCAGGCTCTGCTGATACCAAGTAAGACTGTAGGTCCCACCCATGACCTGGTCATGTCCTGCAGTCCCCTCAGAGACAAGCCCTGGACAGGACAAGGCACATCAGAAGAATGTGTGAGGAGGAGGCCGTGGGGGTCTCATGGCAGGGAATGACTAGGAGAAGGTGTGGTCCCCCTCCTCTCAGGGGGTAGAAAGAGGAGCAGGTCTGGCTTATACTCCCTGGCCCAGGGGGAGCCCAGACAGGTTTGCAGGAGAGGCCAAATGGAGGGTGAGGAGAGCCCCACAGGTTCAGGGACGGCATAGAGACCCCAGAGCCAAGGGGGCACCTGGGGGCAGGGTAGGAAAGGGATCAGGGACGATGACAGTTGGAAGCTGGGTCCAGATCCAGGGGTAGAGCTGAGGCACCTGTTCTCCCAGGGTGGAAAAGGAAGCCAGGCCAAGGACAGGCTCTCCATTTGGCAGAGTCAGCAGGATAGGGTGGGGTGGGGCCCTCCCGTCTCCAGAACGGTCCCCTCTACACCAGTCTCTGAGCTTGACCAACTTTGCAATCAGCTGTCCGTCTGAATTCTCTGTGATATTCTCTACCGCCCTTGCCCGCTATGTGACTGGAGGCAGATGACTGAACATTTCTGAGTGTGGCTTTTTTCTAAACAGTTGATGAGCGGCGAGTTTAACACCCCTGCCGGCACTGCGGGCCCAGCGCCGGGCTCAGAAGATGGCGGCCACCGTGGCACCCCGTGGCACCACCTCTTCAGAGAAATTCTTCCTTTTTTATGCTCTAATTTTCTGGGCTCTGGGCCCGAAGGCCTGTGGTGGGTTTATTCAAAGTTCTTATTCCAGGGACTATAGTCGAGGGGGCAGGTGAGCAGGACGCTTTCTAAACCATCCCCCAAACTGTCCACGGCAGAAGGAAATGAGCCTGGGATGGGAGGTGACCTTGAAAGTCACCTAAACTGGAGGGGAAGAGGGTCTGTACCAACACGCTTACTCAGCCAAACTCCCTAGCCCATGGTATCCGTCCCTGGGAAATATTAAAAGGAAAGTACAGAAAAAAACCAACACCCGGAGCTAACTGAGTTGCAGGTGGCCGGCTGGAGACAGACCCATCTGACTCCTCCCCTCCTTTCCCCAAAGTGGCCCTCAGGTGACAGGGCAGGCCCACCACCTCTTGCAGGGGAATCAGGAAGAGAGTGGGCACGAACTGGGGAGGTGGGTGGCAGGAATGAGGAATTAGGCAAAGAAAAATGGCCTGCAAAATGCAGAAACGCCCCAGCATGCTTGCTTCCCAGACCCGGCCCATGAATCGAGGGGTGACAGGTCTCTCATCTCTGATGCCAAGAGCCAGGAGCTCCGCGCAGCCCCAGGTACTACATCTGCACCTGCCAGCACTTGGAAAGAGGCAATAAAGCATCCTAGCAGGGCCTGGAATGCTAAGTGCCTGCAGCTGGGAAGGGACCGCCTTGCAGCTCGAGCAGCTCGAGGCAGACGTCCACTGCGTGCGGCCGCACTCCCAGGCACCGGCCTCGGCTTCCTCTCCTGCCCCGGGGGGCCGCGGAGATGGACGGAGGAGAGGACAGGACAGGTGCACACTCAGTCCAGCCCCGGGGGCTGCCACGGCCGGGTGCTGGCCCAGACAGACAGGAATCTTCTGGAAGAAGCCCAAGTGGGCTGGATAATTTACTGAGGCTGGCAGGAACTGGGATGCTTGAGTCACTGGTATAGAAAAGTGGATCATAAAGCACCCCGGCGAAGCCAGACGTCTGGAAATACACAGGGCCACATGCTGCTCGGCAGTGCCCCATCCCCCAAGCGGTCATAATGATAATAATGTTTGTACAGCATTTACAGCTCAGTGCTGGTGTGCAGAATTCTTTACCGAATCCTCGAAACAACCCTAAGAAGCTGGTGGTAGTAGCAGCCTCCTGTTCCATGCCAGGAAGACGAGGCCGCCCGGAGGCCAGAGAGCGAGGTGCTGGCAAAGGCAGGTGGGAGCCCAAGCCGTAGGCTGGAAGCCACGCCCTGGAGAGTGTTTCTCAAACTCTAAAGGGCCTGGCAGTCACCCGGGGGGCTTGGTATCAGGTAGCTGCTGACTCAGCTGGTCTGCAGTGGGGCTCCTGTCATTAACAAGCTCCCAGGTGATGCTGGTCCAGGGAGCACACCTTGAGTAGGAGGCTCTGAAGTCCTGACCCCCTTCCCAGGACCCCTCTTTGGCCATGCACTGCTCTGGCCCTGGGAGGCGTCTTCGAATCCCTGAGTTGGCAGAAACAGGCCTTGGCAGGGTGTCAGAACCAAGGGCCTGAGGCCAAAGGAGGGAGTGCGAAGTCTTGGAATACCTCTGTCCCTCCCACACCTCAGCCTAGTTCAATTACAAGCCCTGTGGTGGGGCTAAGACTGGGATTTTTAAAAACTCCCTGTGTGAGTGCCATGTGTGGCCGTGTATGGTCCCTGAGACAGACAGTAGGGCCGCTCCGGTCAGTGTGTTGGATTTATCCCTACAAGACTGGGGAGAGTTCTTTGTGGTTAGGACAGGGATTTCAAAGGTGCTTTCAGAAAAGGGGTGGTGGGCCACTGCCTGGGCCAGTCAAGGGGTATGGCTAGGGTTGCTAGGGCTCTCTCTTCTTGTCCGGAGGAGAGGGCAGCTGGCAACCCTCCAGCCTGGAGTGCTTTCAGAGATGCCCACGCTCTCCCCAGCCATGAGCTTCCAAGAGAAAGGAGACACAGACTGGATCAGCTGTGGACACTGAGGCTCCGGATAGAGATTGCCCGAACCTCTGAGCCCTCTCCTGCACTAGGCCTTGACCGCGGCCTCCATCCTGTCTTCTACCTGCCCAGCCCAGGCCTAGCAAGAATCCTGCTGAGTCCATTTATGGAGAAGCTCCCCGACCCTAGATATCCGGCCACCCTCGGAATCTGGGCAAGCTCCTCATCCCCTGGTGTGCATGCCCTTGACCTGCCTTTAGCAAGAAGCCCCCTGCTCTTAATGGCTCCTCTTTTTTCCATCCACTAATTCCTCTCATTTTCCGTCCACGGAGCTCTCAGTCTGCTCCACGGCTATAAACCCCCCATGTCCTTGCGGTATCTGGAGTTGAGCCGATCTCTCTTCCTTATTGCAACAGCCTCGAGTACAGCCTTCCTTATGTTTTAACGGGCGGTAGAGTAATTTCTGTCTTTAACACTGCCCCCGCCCAAGGGAAAAGTCATGCCACAAAGGGAGCAGCCCTGACGGCGGGAGGTGGGAGTGGTGCCACTGCCCACTGAACACAGTTTCCATGCCTCACCTTGGCATTCAAGGCCCAAGCAATGACTTCAGCATCCAGGCAATGATCTCAAGCCTTATTTACATGCACCCCGCATATAGGAAACCCAGTGCCTTACTGCCCCTCACACACCTGAGCGTCCCCCCCCATCCTGCCTCTGCTCAGGCTTTCCCTCCCACCTGGAAGATCCCCTCCCTTGTAGGCCACCTGCTCTGAGTCACAGTAATCTCTCCCCTGGTGACAAGACTAGTGATAGCCCAGTCTTTGTTCCCCCAGTCTCCCACAGCTTGTACAACCTCCCATTTTAGCTGGGCACACAGTTCTCTGGGATAATGACTACATCTAAAGGCTACATTCTGCAGCCCCCTCTGCAGATCATGTGGTCACGTGACCGAGTTCCGCCCAATGCCATGGAAGCATAAGCAATCTGTGTTACTTCTGGGAATGTTCTCATGCCTCTCCTCCTCTTGCTGTGATGGCTGGAGCACCAACAGCCATCTGGGACTGTGAAGTGACCTTGACCATGGAAGCCCTACGTGGTGGAGCAATGAGATTCCTGACCACATGGAACATTATACCAGCATTGGGCTGGCCCCTCCAGACTTGAACAGGAGAGAAAAATGAGCTTCCATCTCGTTTTACCACCGCTTTTGGGGGAGTTTTCCGGAAGAGCTGAACTTACTGCTATCAGAGCCACCTTTTCAAATCCCTAGAGTCATGAACTCTGGGTTCTTAGGTTCCCCACTTGCATCTGCTGCCCAAGTTGAACAGTAAGCAGGCCGCAGGCTGCACCGCATAAAACATGTGTCAGGACTGAGGTCTGTCTACTGCGCTCCACACAACGCACTGGTTTGCATCCACATTCACAGCAGGCTGCAAACCATCCTGGAACGGAACACCCAAGTACCGTCGCCCCATCCAGCTGTTCCCTACTCTCAGGACACACGCACCCTTACCAGGATGTCCGAACCCGCAGGTTCCTCCCCCAAGGCTGGGCTGGAGCAGTTGCGGAGCTTGAATATCCAGTACTCCTTGGCAGTGATGAAGAAGTTCCACGGCAGGAGGCCGCCGATGCCCAAGCTGAAGAAGATGATGTAGGCCCCATGGAAGCGGTCCTCGGGCCTCTGCAGACCGGGCGGGGGGCGGTCGAGCAGTTTCTCTAGCAGTGCTTCCTGGTCTGTGCGGAGGGAGCTGCTTGCCGTTCTGTAGGTGGAGTTCGAACTGTGATGGAAGTCATCCTCGGAGGCCATGGCCACGACTGGAGCAGAGAGACACAGAGACAGGGCAGGCGATCAGAAGCTTAGGCGGGGCCTAGCTAGGGACTCAGCTGGCCCCGCAGAGCTGACTCTGCCCCCACCATGGGTCACCAAAGCAAGGTTAGAGGGCTTCAGGTTTAAGGATCGGGGAGAAAGACAGGATACCAGAACTGTAAGTGACCAGAGCATCTGCCCCGTCCCCGGGCAGGGTGACATAGGTAGCAAACACGCTGTGGGGTGGCCGGCAGTAGGCCACATGGCACAGTGGGACCTCTAGCTATCGATCCAGAAGGGTAAACCCGAGCTCAAGGCCTTCAAATGTCTATGGAGCCATAAAAAAAGGAATTAGGACCCTTGACAGGCAAAGCATGTTCTCCAAAATCTTTTCAAATTTATGTGAAAAAATTAAGGAGCAAGAAGGTGCGCAGAATATGTAATTATTTGTGCAAAAAAGCAGGCAGGGCTGGGGTGGGTGGGGAGGAGAATATCCTCTGGAAGGACACACGGGAAATTTCAGAGTTGTCGCCCCGGGGAGGGAGGCAGGGGACAAGGAGGAAGGAGGCTGGGGGTAACGGGGAGGGAGGAGTCTTCCCTGCCTCCTCTTCTGTGCCTTCTGAATTCCGAACTATGTGAAGGTATTACGTGTTGAGAAATAAAATTATAAATAAAAATAAAGGCATTCCAATGAAATTACATTTAAAAAAACACTAAAACCATGGTGTCTAGAGCTGCCTTCAGAAGCTGGTTTGAGAGATCCAAGAGTCGACTCCCTCATTTAATTTGCGGGAAGCAGAGGTCTGAAGAGCAGAAGGTCACAGACCAGGTCCATGGCCAAGCCTGGGTGTGTAGTTCCTGCCCGGGTCCCCACCTCTGTCCCTCGCATCCCACCAGGAGACAGCCACTCCCAATCTGTGACAGCACCTAAAACTAACTGAAATTTTAGGTTGCTAGGAACTACTGCCTACCTGACCTTGGGCAAGTCACCCTGCTTCTGAGCCTCAATTTCCCCATCTGTAAACCTAGGGAGGCCTTTTTATGATGATTATGTAACTGAAACTGGCTGGCAGTGCTTGGCGCATGGTAGCAGCTGCTGCATGAACGTCAGTGTCTTCCCTGCCATCCTGGGCTTGTCACCTGGCTGGCTGGCTGGCTGCTGAATTTGACTACAAGTAGCATGCCTGTTTCCATGCTCTATATGGCACCTAGGACATGGCGGCAGCGTGATAAATGGGCAGTACTTCCATTGAGCTGAGGAGGGGACATTGTAGTCTTTCCTGCAATAGATTTTCCCCAGTTCATCCAGAAATCAACATGGCTCCCATCGGAGGCTGACCCTTAACTCACAGTATCCAGCCAGGCAGAGCCGGGCCCTCCTTCCCTGGGGAGACGGGAACACCCCGTCACAAAGGCACAGAGCCTTCTCTGTTATCTCGGGAGAGCCTCGCAACATTCCCTGGAATTAAGCAGTACAGGAATTAGTGCCTCCTTTTTTCAGAGGCAAAGAATGAAGCCTTGAAGGCAGTTGATTCGCCCCACATTCAAACAGTTAAGAATTCCCAATAGCTAAAATAAAATCTGGTGTTCACGCAATGCCAAGGTCCATGCCTCGCACTTGAGCCTGACAATAGCACAACATGATAGGTACTACCCTAAGACTCATTTCCCAGATGAAGAGTGAGGCTCAGAAAGGTTCAGTCATTGGGCCAAGGTCACACAGCAGCCAAATGGCAAGGACGAGGTTATACAGCCAAGCAGTCCAGGCCCACCCAGCAGAGGAGGCTGGCTGGCAATGGGAACCCATGTCTGCTGGCTCCAAGTATAGACCTCCTTCTAGAAGACCTCATGGACAGTGAGCTGTGAGCAGAGGCGAAGAGGATGCAGGGCACCCTCACCAGTATTTGCTGAATGAATGGACTCTGTCTGGGCCGTCAGCATATGCTCTCCCTCGGAGCATGTACCCCAGAGCGGGCAAGGAAGAGGCTGCTGGACGCCCCAACTTCCCGCCAGCAAGTCTATCTTCCAGCTCCCCTGGCTGAGCAGCAGGCGGTCTTTCCTAGCCTTGCTGCACAGGAAGTCCAGCTCTAACAAACTACCCAGTGTGGGCACACGCACAGTGTGCCTGCCCACGTGCACACACACACACATTTCTCAATTAGTGTTTAGAAATGTAAAAACTACGACCCATGTAAGACAACAGACAGAGAACAAGTGGTTCTTTCCAGATGCTCCAGCCACAGGGGTGGGGGCAGGGGCCCTCAGCGGGGTCACTCCAGCCCACTCTCATCTCCAGGCATGTATTTGTCTAGGACCATTCAGCCTTGACTGAGCTTCTGAAGAAGGAGCCAGAAATTTTCTCTAACGTGGGTCACAGGCCAGGGCACTGAAGTGAGCAAAGTCTTATTACTCTTTATAAAAGCTAGCTGCTGGCGTTTGGATTAAAAAGAAAGAAAGGAAAAAGAAAGCTAAGGAAGAGCCCTGGTGTCGCCAGCGTGGGCTGACCACTGCCTGCTGTGTACCCCTCAGTCACATGCAGGAGTTGGCCAGGCTTGGTGGAGCTCCCTTCCTGGGTGACTTGTGGGAAGGGGCAGCACCCCCACAAAGAAGCAGAAGTGTGTGGTGTCCCTGCTTCAGACCACCATCTGGAACTGGGGGCTGGTTCCCTGGAGGCTTCTGACTCTGGCTAAGTCGATGTCCCCCACTGTGCCTCGATTTCCTCATCTGTGAAATGGGGATGGGGAGCTGGTGATGCTAACCCACGGGAAAGGATAGCTGGGGGACACAGGGTGCCACCCAGACAGCATGGCAGTATGGCCTTTGGGGTTGGAGGTATCCCCAGCCTCACACTCCCCCAACCTGAACTAGGAGTCAGCCACCCTCTGGATACTTTAGGCTGACTGGTCCATATCCAGGCCCCCCACAACCAGGCAGTGAGGTCCTGTGTCAGGAAATCCATGAGGAGGAGGAAGAGGAGGGGAGAGAATCTGGGGGAGAAAAAGCATAGCGACCCAGAAAGGGAAAAATTAGCCGGGGGTGGTTGGGGGAGCCAGGAGTTAGAGGGGGGCGATGGGGAGGGATACAGAGAGAGGTGAGAGGGGCCGCAGTGGAGGGGCTGAACTGCACCGCCCCCCCGGCCCCCCGCCCGGTTCCCGTGGAGCAGCCCCCAGAAGGGCTCTTCGGGGGAAGCCGCCAAAGTGCGAGACTAGGAGGCGGCCGGGAGCCTGAAGAGCCGGCCAGGCAGGGGTCAGGTCCGCGCCCGACCTCCGGCCCGCACTTACTGTCGCCGCCGCGCCGCCGCCGCCGCTGCCTCCCCGGCCGCCGCGGCCACTGCGAGTTCGGGCTCCGAGGGGCCGCAGGCCGAGCTCCGCCTCCCGGCCCGGCCCCGCCCCTCCCCGGCCCCGCCCTGGCCCCGCCCCGCCCCGCAGACGCTTCCGGGTTTGCAAACTCTTCCAAGCAGGCGTCCCCCCAGGCACGCGGAGCACCTGCGGGCCCGCGCCCATTGCACAGGTAGACCCGGCGAGGCGTCCGCAGCCCCGTGCAACGTCCGCGCTGGCCTCCCGGCTGCTGCGTGTGCTCCTTCTCCCCCGGGGGGCCGGCCCCTGTGGTCTCCAGTGCCTGCGCCCCGGGACCCAGAAGAGCTCGCCTCGCCCCCAGACCCCTGCAGAGAGTCCCCTCTAACTGCAGCCCACCACTCCTCCCCATCCTCCTTCCGGCCCAGCCACCAAGCTTTGGCGCTTAGTGTCCAGGCCTCCCACGTGCCAGGCCAGCGCCATGACGCTTTTCCTTGCCAGTGCCTTCTGGAGGCACGTTGTCTGGCTGAGGCAGAGGGCAAGCCTGGCGGGCGGTGGTCGGGAGGGGAACAGGTCCTCAGGACCGTCCTGCCAGGTCCTCTCCCAGCCCCCAGACCTTCGTGTCCGAGTGGTAGGCCAAGGCGGCCACCTTTACCCGACCCTCTTCCTTTCTCTGCCATGCCCTTCACCTCCCTCTGCCATGCCCTTTGCATGCCTGAGGCACAGGGGTGCAATTACGCCTCTTTCACAGAAGGGGGAAGACTGGGCTTACCCGAAACCACGATGGAGCTGGGGGTCTAAAACCCCTGCTCACATGCGATGCCCACCTCCAAAGGGTGCTCAGTGCTGGGTGCCCTTGGGACAAGGTGAGGCAGGCTCAGAACACTGTGCTTTCTTCATTAAACAGACCTACTGCAGTGAGGACCCCTGATATCGTGATATAAATATATATTTGGTGGGTGGTGCCTGGGTGGCTCAGTTGGTTAACCTGGGACTCTTGGTTTCAGCTCAGGTGTGATCTCAAGGTCCAGCCAGGCATCCACCTCTGCACTCAGCGGGAAGTCTGCTTGAGAGTCTTAACCCCTTACTTCCCTCTGCTCCTCCCCCCTTCCCACATGCTCTCTCTTTAAAATAAATAAAAATCTTGAATACACACACACACGCATATATATATATATGTATATATATGTATATGTATGTATATATATATGCATGCATATATACATTTGGTGTTAAAGAAAGAAAACTGCAGGCCCCAAATGAGTGAGTTCCCAAACTGGGGATTAATTCCCAAACTAAATGCAGTTTCAACCTCCCCCAGAAATGTGGCTTTAACTGGTCAGTCAGGAAATATTTCTTTCCAGCAACACCAATAAATCTGTCACCCGGGGTCCTCTCCCTCCCACCCTATGCCCAACAAAAAATAAGGCAATCCACATGATAAGATACCTTGCTTTTCCCCTAGCAAACAACCTCCATGGGAGAGATCCCTTTTTTTCCCCTAAAAATTTTCTTGCCCCCACCCTCCATCTATAAAAATCTCCCATTTTGTACAATGCCTCGGAGTGCCGCTCTGCTGCTGTCCAGTCCGAAAATCATTTAATAAAGCCAATTAGATCCTCAAATTCACTTGGTTGAATTTTGTTATTAACATCAACCTGTGGCCAGTTCTGGACATGAGAGCTTCTGAAACTCTTGGAATTTTCT